CCCTTCCGGCATTGGGCCAGGACATCCGCAGGCTCACAGCCTTAGCTTATCCGGAGATGAGCCAGTCAGCCCAAGATCGCCTAGCGAGACGGAGTTTTGAGCAAGCTATTCAGGATGATAATATAAGACGAACAATACACTTGAAGGAATGTATTACACTCGATAAGGCCATAGAAGTAGCCCTCAAGGAGGAGTCGTTTCTAGAATCAGAACGAATAAGGAAAGGCCAAAAACCAAAGTTAAGGGTGAACTTCATCGATTCCGAGGAAGAGTACTGCAACTCTGTAAGTACTCCTGATAATAAGGAAGATGTGTTCCAGAAGATGGCTCAAATGATAGAACAAATGCAACAAGCTGTGCAAGAAACTTGCACCAAGAACCTGGAGAAAATGGTTGACCTGATGAAGTTAACCAGATTGGAATCTACAAATAGGGAGAACATGAACAATAGACCTAAATGTTTCTATTGTTACAAGCCTGGTCACCGGATAGCTGATTGTTATTCAAGGAAGCGTGCCGAAGAGCGAGATAAAACAGCACAGGAGAGACCTGGCCAGATTGCTACCATTGAATTTCTTTCTCTGCAGGGGAATGATGTTAAGTCTTCCAAGGACACTCAGAAGATAGTGGCACATGGTACAGTTTGTGACACCAATGTTTCATTTTTAGTTGACTCTGGAGCAGCTAGTACTATCATGAGTTCAAAGGTCTACCAGAATATACCTAAACACAGAAGACCCAAGCTTGAGCCGCCTAAGAGAGTTATCTTGCAAGCTGGTGGACAACCGCTGCAAATGAAAGGAGTTTCATGTCTTGAGGTTAACATTGATGGTCATACAGAGAACATAGAGGTTGTTGTGGCCGATATTGGCTTTGACGGAATCTTAGGCACCGATTACTTAGCTGCCTCTGGAGCTGTGTTGAACTATCGTCAGTGTAAAATGACATTTGAACAAGAGAATCCTGGAAGTTTTTATGATCACCCTATAGACTCAAGAGTGCCTAAAGATCAAGCGAGTGAAGTCAAAGACAGAGAGGTAGATCAACGAGAAAGATTCGGGACGAGAGACAGCTCGACATATCCCAAGAGATCGTCTAGGAGGACAGCTGCGGATCTAGCTGGTTTTTCCCGCTTCAGAGGACATAGATGTGCCAGGAACAAAAGATGTTGTAAAGTGTCTGGGCTAAGTGAAGACTACAACCTTAGAATTGACAGTAAGGATGAGAAACCCAGAACTTACTCAGCTAAGGCACCCCTATCCAAAATTTATAGAATGAGACATTTGAGGACTCAACCTGAACGTGACTTGGATGGCGACTGGAGGGATCATTGTTATTCCCATAGAGTGAAGCACTAACCAGAGAGTTGAGCCTTGAACGAGACATTTAGCATGAGTATAATTTTGTATTCATACTTAACAATTAGCTGAGAGCTAAAACTGAAAGGTTTTTGTACATAGTAGTTAGACATTTGTATTAAGTAGGTAGTTAGATATTTAGTGTTAAGTTTTGAGATACCAGCGTTTAATGAGTTTAGGTTTCCGAACTTGCGTTGTGCATTGTAGTTGCAGCTAGTTGACCCTGGGGTTAAATATATTTGGCAGGTTATATTTTTAGAAAATATCTAGTTAGGAAAAATTTGTTATCTTTTTATGTACTTAGGCTTGGTGTTGTAAACACCAAAATCATTGGATGGGAGGAGTGTAACAAATTTTTTAATTTTTCAATTTTTTATCTGTGGAGTCCAGTACCATTTTCTAGCAGTTCAGACAGTTTTGACAGTAGGAAAGTGTTTCCCAGTCAAGGTTGATAGGTGTTATACTTACATTAAGGTATGGAACACTTTAGATGTACAGGGAGTCGTTTTAACTGCTATTTTCTGTGAGATTCATTTTTGTTTTTATCTGTACATTTTTCTCACTTCCTGTAGAAGAACTCTGCTGACCTACATTCATTTACTCGTTTTTCCTTGCAATTTCACCATAATTAGAGCCAATGATGATTGGTTTTTGTTATATTTATCTAGTTTATATCTTAATCTAGCTAATACATTACAAGATATGTGTTCGTTTTGTGTTAAACAGCAGAAATCATGATTGCTAGGCAAAGCCATTTATTTTGCAAAAGTTATTTCCTCATTGCACCATGGTTGTTTATTTTGCACTAGTGATATCCTGCCTGGGATTCTAGTGGACTGACTAGGTATTGCATCAGCCCATTAATCACTTGTTAGGTTCGTGTGCAAAACCTGTCTGGGGTATAAATACAGAGCACTGATCGCTCCTAGCAGACACGTACACCACTTTTGAAGAGGAAGGAGCTCCTATGTCAGTGTCTCATCTACAGACGAGGGACTAAGAGGCTGAGAAACTTAGAATATTTCGTGTAACTGATGTCCAGAAACTTAGAAGATATAACTGATGTCAGAAAGATAGAATATTCCCAGCAACTGATGTCCAGAAACTTAGAATATTTACGACATCCCAGAAAGATAGAATATTCTCGACAATTGATGTCCAGAAACTTAGAAAATATAACTGATGTCAGAAAGATAGAATATTCCCGGCAACTGATGTCCAGAAACTTAGAATATTTACGACATCCCAGAAAGATAGAATATTCCCGACAACTGATGTCCAGAAACTTAGAATATTTCGATTACTGATGTCCAGAAACTTAGAATATTTCAACGACTGATGTCTAGAAACTTGGAATATTTAGTGTAACTGATGTCCAGAAACTTAGAAGATATAACTGATGTCAGAAAGATAGAATATTCTCGACCAATGATGTCCAGAAACTTAGAATATTTACGACATCCCAGAAAGATAGAATATTCCCGACAACTGATGTCCAGAAACTTAGAATATTTCGATTACTGATGTCCAGAAACTTAGAATATTTCAACGACTGATGTCTAGAAACTTGGAATATTTCGTGTAACTGATGTCCAGAAACTTAGAAGATATAACTGATGTCAGAAAGATAGAATATTCTCGACCAATGATGTCCAGAAACTTAGAATATTTTGATTACTGATGTCCAGAAACTTAGAATATTTCAACGACTGATGTCTAGAAACTTGGAATATTTAGTGTAACTGATGTCCAGAAACTTAGAAGATATAACTGATGTCAGAAAGATAGAATATTCTCGACCAATGATGTCCAGAAACTTAGAATATTTCGATTACTGATGTCCAGAAACTTAGAATATTTCAACGACTGATGTCTAGAAACTTGGAATATTTCGTGTAACTGATGTCCAAAAACTTAGAAGATATAACTGATGTCAGAAAGATAGAATATTCTCGACCAATGATGTCCAGAAACTTAGAATATTTTGATTACTGATGTCCAGAAACTTAGAATATTTCAACGACTGATGTCTAGAAACTTGGAATATTTCGTGTAACTGATGTCCAGAAACTTAGAAGATATAACTGATGTCAGAAAGATAGAATATTCTCGACCAATGATGTCCAGAAACTTAGAATATTTTGATTACTGATGTCCAGAAACTTAGAATATTTCAACGACTGATGTCTAGAAACTTGGAATATTTCGTGTAACTGATGTCCAAAAACTTAGAAGATATAACTGATGTCAGAAAGATAGAATATTCTCGACCAATGATGTCCAGAAACTTAGAATATTTTGATTACTGATGTCCAGAAACTTAGAATATTTCAACGACTGATGTCTAGAAACTTGGAATATTTCGTGTAACTGATGTCCAGAAACTTAGAAGATATAACTGATGTCAGAAAGATAGAATATTCTTGACTAATGATGTCCAGAAACTTAGAATATTTCGATTACTGATGTCCAGAAACTTAAAATATTTCAACGACTGATGTCTAGAAACTTGGAATATTTCGTGTAACTGATGTCAAGAAACTTAGAAGATATAACTGATGTCAGAAAGATAGAATATTCTCGACCAATGATGTCCAGAAACTTAGAATATTTCGATTACTGATGTCAGAAAGATAGAATATTCCCGGCAACTGATGTCCAGAAACTTAGAATATTTCAACTACTGATGTCTAGAAACTTCGAATATTTCATATAACTGATGTCCAGAAACTAAGAAGATATAACTGATAGAGAAAGATAGACTCTTTAATATAATCTTTGATATTTCACATAAACAAAGGACTTTCAAATAGTCTCTCTACAACTTAATTTACACCGATTTATTCTGTATACATTTTTGGGCTGGATAAGCAACAATATATGTGTGTTTAGTTTATATTCGATGTTGTGTCGCTATATCATCACGTGCATTTAATGTGCACCAAGTATCCCTCAAAGTGACTTAGCCTAATAAAATAAATAACAACCATCCACACTACCCAAATTAGGCTAGTTGTTACAATAGTATTCATTTGGTCTTCCAACAGTCTTCTTGGTGAGTTTTCAATTCTTACATTTGTCCTTCATTTTTGCGAGTTACAAGTTAGCAATAACAATACTGATGCAGAATGACTTGAATGATATCAATTTTTCCAAGTAGGTGGTGGGCTAGATCTACTGACTAGCTTACCCTCCCATTTACGGGAGTATGCTAATAATTACACACATATTCACATTAGGAAAATGGCAAGAGTTATTGTAAACCTTTGCATTTATTCTCATGTTATAGTTGAAAACTTGATCAAAAGAACTGAAAAAAGAATGAACCTATAAACGTAATTTCTTCATGTATTTTCACTTTCTGTCAACAGTCTGAATCAGACAGAAAAAATTAAAATTTTGGGAATATTTCAGGATAACATTCAACATGAAAATAATAAATGAAAACGATAACCTACCTTTTTGATTTTATCACAGTTACTTCATGTAGTTCTTATATATAATATCCATATATTTGATCAGTATTTTATTACGTAATTAAGATAATAAACGGCAAAATGTTCGACGAAATTCTTCAAATTTTGTCCGCATAATATCCGGAAGTCCAATGCGCATCATATTTCGCGCACAATGACGTCATTTCAAAATGTCAGCGCCCATGTTTGAAAATTTCAATATATACGTATAGGTGACATGATAGCACCGTATATATGGACTTAACCAACCAACCAATTTCAGAAAAGAATCTGTTTTGTTATTTGAGGACTAGATCTGTCGAACGATCGAAGAATTGTGTCATTGGATAATGGTTATATAGGATGGCATCTAATGAAAGCGACGAAGATGATTATATGTCTGACGCTTTCCTGACAAAATGGTAAATCATCTTTTTATTTTCGAAGTGTCTGGAGTACCTTAAAATTTAAGGCTCTTTAGCCAAAATGCTAAAGAGCCTTAAAATTTAAGGCTATTTAGCTGTGAACATAGTGTTTTGGCTAGAGAGCCTTTGTGTTTATAATCCGTGTTTATATTGTTTTTTATTGAAGTTTTCGTCATCTAAACAATAAAACAACACTCTCCAAAGTTTTTCAACACAGAATGCCACTTAAAAATTTCACACATGTATAGAGTTGCAAAAATGTTAGCTCCATCATGCAGAAACACTCTGGTATAGTGGTTAGGGTGCTCGATCTCCACTTCTGCGGCGTGGGTTCGATTCCCAGACGGAGCACTTTTTCTTTTGAATAACAACCCGGAAGTTTATTCTCCGAGGTCTGGAAATTATGTACACAATTTTTTCTAGAATTCTTGGGCTTGCTCCATCGCTTAATCATCAATGTTTAATGAAATTAATCACTTGTATTGGCTTTGCTATAGTCATGAGAATACAGGGAATCCCATTTTAAGATGGCAAAAAGTATGATGAAGACCTGGGGATGAAAAAGGATCTTGTTTCTTCTAGATCAGCACATTTTGACGCAGTTTATCGTGAATGCAGGGACATCAGCCAAGGGACATCACAGAATACACTTCCAAATATATTGCTCATTAGATATCAATGCTGATTTTAGAATTTTTCACGTGACGAGATATTTTTGCATAATATTTTCCTCACAAATGAGAATTTAAGCACATGAGAGAGCACAAAGAAAATTTACAGTACAAGAGGTGAACTGTCGAGGAAACAGCGGCTTATGCAACACAACAACAACACTTTTATCCTAGCCTCCACTCCATCAATAAATGTCTATACATCAAAATCTTTACTAAACGGACGTTGTGATTTATAGTGGATAAATGGTAAAAATAACATTTTTCTGGCTATATACGTGATTGCCTGGTCTTACACCTTCTCTGGTGAGACATATATTTTCGATATATGCATGAGTCCGTTCAAAATCGATGTTTGAACCATTAAAAAGCCAAATTTAGACTGAGGATTGAAAAGGTTCTTTTATTTCTCTCGGTAGACCGGAAGTAAATTTATGAGTCGAGCAAAAAGTGATAATGTTTTTTTATGAAGTGGGGAAGTCAAAACAGTACTAATAGAAGTCATAGTAAGCATTAGAAGATCATTTTAAACCATATAAATCAAATCGACGGCAAAGTTAGTTGAAATGACTGAAATCTTTATATGTTATCTTCTTCATCTTCGCGGACCTCAGAGAAGACACTTCCGGTTTAATAATCAGTGATTTTATCGATCAAAAAAATCTTCTTTTTGAATTTGTCTGATATCTGCTAATATGGTATGTATATTTGTGCTGATTGTTGAATTACAAAATAGGTTGGGTATAGAATATGTGAAAGTCGTTTGATCTTGTCCCAGAAGCAACATTTTGTCATTTCTGTCGCCTGGAATTTTTTTAAGGCTCTCTAGCAGAATTGGCTATCAAAATGCTAAAGAGCCTTAAAATTTAAGGCTCTTTAGCCAAAATGCTAAAGAACCTTAAAATTTAAGGCTCTTTAGCATTTTGGTAACCCATTTGGCTAGAGAGCCTTAAATTTTAAGGCTCTCCAGGCACGGCCTTTTATTTTCAAAGTAATTTTCTGTATCTAAGCTACATGTAAAGAGGAGGGAAAGCCCCAGAGTTTAAGATGACAGACATAATTACGTCTCTTGCTTACCACCTTCGTTCGTTCGAATTTTCATCGGCTAGTTATCAGATACTAGAATTTTTTTCATGGCCTGAGTTCGTCACTAACATGCTAAATATAAGAGTTAGCTGACGTTTGGGAGTCTGACTTACATTCTAAAGGTTAGAACCCGAATCTTAATGAAACCATATCACCTTTGTTCCGTCAACCATGGAGCATTTGCCACAACATTCAAGAGGTAAATCATGGAACGTGAAAATGAATGATTTCCTTGTAAGTTCCGGAAGTTTCAATACGAAAAATTACCGAACATATGTGAAAACCGAATATTTGTTCGTTGTTTTCACGATTTACAGGTTCGTTTGTTCTTCAATGTTTTGGTCTAAATTATAAAGCATCACCAACAGGTCTTACTCTTTTAATCGACTAATACAGCAGACGGCTCATATTTCTACGTAGCATTTCGTTCAGACCAATAGTGGGAGTGTAGATCACGCAGTTTCGTTCGTTGCGTACTTCACTTGAAATTGGTAATTTTAAATATTGGCTACTTCACTTAGCTTGGCGGATGTAGAACATTGCTTAATATTCTTTTAATTTTCACACCAGACATGCTTGGTTGACAGTTGACATGTCAACAAAGTAAAGTTCAAGGGTCAATGCGTTATTTCGTGATAACTACAACGCCTTCCCGGAAGTCAACATTGATGAAAAATGAAAAAGTCGGAAAATCATTGACACTAATTTCTATCAAATGCTGTGTTTATGCATCATCATCGACGCAACAAAGGTGATATGGTTTCATTAAAATTCGGGTTCTAACCTTTAGAAGGTAAGTCAGACTCCCAAACGTCAGCTAACTCTTATATTTAGCATGTTAGCGACGAACTCAGGCCATGAAAAAAATTCTACACTTCGATGGGATGTTTTAATTGATAGAGGCATATTCCGTACACCTTTCTTTATCTTGATGTGAAATGAGAAGCTATGATATTGGTTAAGGTGCCATGGAAGTTAACAGGAAATGATGAAACAGGAAGTGAAATTTTTTTTGCATTTTTAGACATTTTTTCAACAAAGATAACAGAGTTCTGGTTTGACCTCCAGTCAATTAACTATTTCCACATATCATTTACACGACCAGGATCACAATGTGCATGGTCAGAATGACCCTAAACATGATGAAATAACCTTTTTAGCCCTTTGAAAGTGTGACTGAAAAAAAGCTAAAAGAAAGAGCTAGGGAAGGTCACTGAACAGAATCTTTTGAATTTTTCAAAAAATGTGTCCAATGCCCCTCCAATATAATGCTCTAACTGATACAATCTTTGAACTTTTAGAAAATTGTCTTAAACAAAAATGGCGGTCATAAAAAGGAAAATGGATCGCTTTTCAAACATGTCAAATCATTTTTTTCATTTTTTTTTCCTTTTTCTATGAATGATATCAAATTTTCAAAGATTGTATCATTTAGAGCAATATATTGGGCACATTTTCTGAAAAATTCGAAAGATTCTGTTCAGTGACCTTTCCTACCTCCTTCTTTAAGCTATTTTTCAGTCACATTTTCAGAGGGCTGAAAAGGTTATTTCATCATGTTTAGGGTCATTCTGACCATGAACATTGTGATCCTGGACCTGTAAATGGTATTTGGAACTAGTTGAATTGACTGGAGGTCAAAACAGTACTCTGTTATCTTTGTTCAAAAAATGTCTAAAAATGCAAAAAAAATTTGTCACTTCCTGTTTTGTCATTTCCTGTAACTTCTATAGCACCTTAACACGCCAGAAATGAAGATAATATTATTCGAAGCGTATTTCGAAAATTTTGAAACCGCCATTGATGATGTCATTTGTTTGTCGACTTTTGGCCAATCAGCGACGATATGATCACAATACAGATTTACATTTTAAGCGTATGTCATCTTTCTCCCCCTCTGGCCTAGAGTCGGAGACATTAATAAACCTCAACCATTAAAAGTTGTCACAATGAATCGCAAAATATAATGTGTCAGGCTTATATGACTTTATATGAACTATACATTTCAACATGGGCTTTCTTGAAAAGCCCATGATTTCAAATACATGTATAAGATTCACTCTATTACATTAGAGTGATAGTACTTCCTATCAGTAAAGCATTACATTCACCTCATTTTATTGCATGTAAGATTAAAAAAAAATGTTAGGCCCCAATAAGTGGGCATTATTAGTTGGCAATATTTGGCTAGTATTATTGGGGCTTTTAAGACTTTATTTTTTCAAGGCAGAACTTTTTTGGCTCCCCCTTGTGGGTTTCCAGATCCACCCCTGTACACAAAGGATCTTTTGTACGAAGATGTATCGGAGAATGAAGATGTATCAGTATTTCCAACATATAACATAACCACTTTGTATGCATTTCAGTGAGGATGTTCGACCTGGTTTAGTTCATTCTAAAAAGACGTCCAGACAAAATGAAATTGAAAAGAAACAGAAGGAAAAGCAAAAATTTATAAAAGAAACTTATAAACCAAAGAAAGTCCTTGAACATGAGAAAAGAGAGGAGGGACTCAACAGTGCAATAAGCTCAGAGAATAAGGGGTTTGCTCTCTTACAGAAAATGGGATACAAACCTGGACAAGCCATTGGCAAACAAGGTATAGTATGTTAGGGGAAGGGTTCAGCATATGGAAAATGAGAGGTGGAAAAATGATGGAATAGGAAAGAAACAAAGAATATGGGGTCACTAAAAAACATTGGATGTGATGGTCTTAAAACTGAGAAATATGAAGGTAGAAATAAGGAATATTGAATACTACCCTCATGCTGCATGCACCTCCCTCTCTGGTGGCAGGTCTGATCATGTATAAAAGTCAAATTTGATGGTGTTAAATTAAGAACCAGTTATCATACTATTTTGTTGAACATAAATCAAGTATTTCACTGGACTCATACATAAGATTTCCTCTTATTTTGTTTGAGGACCCAGGCCCAATCAAGTAACAAATCAGGCATAAGCATATAATTAAATAGATATTGTGACAATTCATGATTTGCTATACACATCTCTTGTGTTTCAGGCCAAGGTAGAACAGAACCAGTCCCAGTAGTGTTAAAGCTAGATGGTAGAGGGGGTCTCGGTAAAGTTGCAGATCAAAAACGACGACAAGAAGCTGTAGACAAATTCCGTTCTCACCTTCAACAGAAACGACAAAAAATGAATGAGCAACTGAAAACAGACTTTGTAAATACTATGAGTAGTAGAAAGAAAGCTGCAAATATTGAAAGAGATTTATATAAAAGTCAGAAAGTGTGCCATCATCTGGATAGTGATCAGGTAGATAGATGTATTCTACACTTTTGAAGTCACATATGTTAAATACATTGAAATTTGCAGAGTATAACTATGGAACATGTGACGCGATGCCTCACAAGTGAATGCAATATGTGTCTTTTCAGTTATAAAATGTAGTTGTGATGTCCTGATGATACATTTACTTAGGAACCCCAAGCTGATTACTTTTAGCCTATTTGGTTTTTGGATATCGAAGAGTATTATGCGAAATCTTTTCATTTTCTTGTTTGAAAATAGTTACTTTTATGATGTAGGGTAATATCAGCATATGTCCTGATGATACATTGGCCATGCCATAGTAAATTCTCAATTCTAAGATGACTCACATTGAAACTTCATGATGAGACTGGAATCAATGGTAAACATTAAATGTATTACACAAATATAATTTTCACATTTTCCTAATATTGCTTTGTGTTATAGAACTTAGAATCTCCAAAAGAACTTTATTTCTGGCCCAAGCAAGTCTTTCAAACAAATCAAGATGAAGAGGAGGAAACAGATGAGGAAACAGATGAGGAAAATGAAGAGGATACTTTAGAGGTAAGTTTCCTATTTTCTTTAAAATGAAGAGGATACTTTAGAGGTAAGTTTCCTATTTTCTTTAAAATGGAGAGGATATTTTAGAGGTAAGTTTCTTATTTTCTTTAAAATGAAGAGGATACTTTAGAAGTAAGTTTCTTTTTTTCTTTAAAATGAAGAGGATACTTTAGAGGTAAGTTTCTTATTTTCTTTAAAATGAAGAGGATACTTTAGAGGTAAGTTTCTTATTTTCTTTAAAATTAAGAGAATACTTTAGAGGTAAATTTCTTATTTTCTTTAAAATGAAGAGGACACTTTAGAGGTAAATTTCTTATTTTCTTTTCTTTTCTGAGTTGTTATATACATGCAGACCACCTGGTAGGAATCAATTTTGAAATTATTATAATAAAGGGAATTATCAGAAAAGTGGGTGTAAAATGTTGGGAGCATTTTCTAAAATCATGCAAGTGTTTTCCTAATTTTATTTTCTGAAAACAGAGATATTTGATCAGATATTAAAGTTGTTGAAGATTAAGGCACCATTGCAAAAGATCAATGTCGGATAATTACTATGCCGCTATTCTAATACATGTACTTAGGAGGGGGAGGGGGTAAGTTTTTTAATTAAATTTGTTTGTTTCATAATATTCTTTCTTTATATTGTACAATGAGTGGATGACACAATGAAAAGGGTGAATGTCATATGTGATAAAATGTTGAATTTTTGTTTCATTCAGTTTTATGTTGCATATAAGATGAAGAAAATTCATAGAATTTATACAATTGCAGGTATTTTAAGTTTCTTGAATGTTTCATTGCTGTTTTCCAGTCATGGGAAAAGCTTGAGGTTCTGACGAACTACCTGAGAACTCAGCATATCTACTGTGTATGGTGTGGCACTCGCTTTGAAGGTAAGAACTTGTCGTAGATCATCTAGAGTGCAGTGTGCCTAAAAGATTTCCAGTGAATTGGATATTTCTTATAACAATTGCAAGAACCAACAATCATCATTTGCTGGTTTTGAGAACATACATGTACCAGCCAAAAGTTATGAATACATGTTACAATTTTAAAGCAAAATTAAAGAAACTAAAAGATCAATTGCACAGAATCTATTTTTCAGATTTTTCACTCCTCCCAGATTGCCATTTCTGCAGAGTAAAAGGCAGATTTTGCTTTGGCCAACATATTTTCAGAATCTTGAATTATTAATCAATATCAGAATTTCATGTGGAGTTGACTTTTCTGAAAGATGATAAAGTCAGCCTTAACTGTGAAATTTTATGGTTTCTGGTAGAAATCGACCCAAGTATTACGCTCGTATTTCAATTTGTTTTTTGTTGTTTCATTTGCCAGATGACAGTACTTATTTGACTGAATGAATTACTTCAATAATACATGAATTTTGTCATATATGCCTTATTTTCATTTAAAACTGCTGAGAAATCCTTCAGAATTCATGCAGGATTGGCCTTTTTCCATTGCAGAATTCATAATTACATCTTTCTAAAACTGAGTGATAACCATCATGAAATCATTCACATTCGATCTCTTTGTTTTTCAGATAGTTCCGATCTGGCACAGAATTGTCCTGGTAGCACATCAGAAGATCATGATGAATGAGAACACTGATATGACATCTGGTTCCACAGATCGTTCAAGTTAGACATCTCAACTATGAAACCTACGAATATGGTTGGTGTTAGAATGCAGACAGTGTATAGATCAGGGATGACAAACAGGGTGGTCCATTGACATTCTAAGGGACCTCTATGCTCTCTGGTTATCTGTTGACCAACTGAAGTGGACTGAGTATATATGCAATGGATATTCTTGACTGATTTGTGACTGCTATGCTATAACTGACATGTATGGTGCATTCATGGATTATTAGTATTATCAAGAATTCAAACATGACTGTATTGTATTGTATTGTATATTTATTTACCTCTAATGACTAGAGAGTTACAATTATAAAGTTACAAATTGAAATAATGAATAAAAACACACATATTTAAAATAGTGAAGAAATGTATATCCCAAGTTAAGATGAAACCTTTATAGATACCAATGCCATCTTCCCCAAGGTCGATAGCTCAGGACCAAAATAGAGTTGTCATACCAACAACGAATTTCTTTTGATTTGCATAGCAAGAATTATGTCAGCTGTTTTTAACTGAATTTCGGTTGTACTTTCACCAAATATTTGTTTTACACGTAACTCATTGCTCATATTATAATCGTTGTCAAATGTTCCATGATATAAATTATTCATTTGCAAACGCTCGAAGCTGAATGCATCACATTGAAACAGGAAATGTTCCATTGTTTCAGGTTCCTTTTTACCACATAGAGTACACTGTAGATTATAAATTGATCTATTCCATTTCTTACAGGAGTTCAAATTGAATTGACCCGTCAATAATTTGACGACGGCTTTAAAACTGTTTAACCTATTTGGAAACTCTTGAGCTAAGATCCACCATATGTTTGGTGTTTTACATTTATGGACAGTTAGAAAATGAGAAAGGCCTGGATGTAACATGCACCTAATCCTGAAAATTGTCTCCTGAAGGTCTTTCACACGACTACAGATCAAACGTTTCCAAGCAGCCTTTGGGATATGTTGACCGTTAAGCATAAGTTTTACATTTTCAATTAGGTCGTATTTTAGAGCTGTACACCACATCTGTGCAATTGGAGAGGTCATTCGTATACGGGCAATTTTAAATTCCATAACTGTCATTCTAAAAATCATCACCCGTTTGTATATATTAGCCATTGGCAGGTGTAAGAGCATCCATATAAACATTAATTTTGAGATGTCAACTCTGTATTCCATTCCCCACCAACCGAGGGGTTCGTAAGCCACGGGGCACTCTGCAAAAGCAGGGAGTGATTGAATCCTCCTGCCTACCTTACGCTGTGCAGTTTCCATCTGTGATATGTCATTTGACGAATACGGAATTACATTAGAGCCGTATGTCATGGAAGGAATTGCAAATGTTTCATATAATTTTGCAGATGTCAAAGGGCGCATTCCACCGACGTCAGCTCCCAATCCTTGGAGAGCATTGTATTTACGGAGACCCTTGTTAATACTCTCATCAACGTACTGGGAAATTGAGTTGTTTGATAACGGTAATCCAAGATGTACAGTGCTATTTGTCGTCTGCACAGGAATCCCATTAATCACGACATTCGTAAATTGATCGCCTCTTTTCTTCCCAAAAGTTAACGTTTTGCATTTACCTGGGTGAATTTCATATCTCCACTTGAGACTATGATTGAACACTGCATTTAATAAAATATTCATGCTGATTTTGTCGGTGGTCATAATTGTCATATCATCAGCGTACACCGGACAAGTTACATCAATGTCGTTAATCTTAGCACCAATACGTAGGTCTATTAATTCTTCTATGAGGTCAGCGTTGTACAGCTGGTACAGGAGCATACTATATACGCCCCCCTGATGGACTCCCCGTCGAACGTCAAAAGTGTCCGAAAAATGTTCCCCTACACGCACTTTGCACTTATATGTGTTATAAGAGTCAAAAAGGATGCGCCATAATTTTCCACGGACACCAATGTTGTTATACAGCTTATGAAAAAGTCCGTTAATCCATACACTATCGAATGCCTTACGAATGTCAAGCGTTGTGACGTAAACGTTACGTCCTAAGTCTACGTTATGCGACATTGCCTCTTGTGCTAACATGTAGGAATGTACAGATGAACACGATTTCAAAGATGCTCCTTGTAATTGGGGAATGTGCTTAAGGATATGTGGCTTGCTCCTGTTTAACAAGAAAATATCAAACGTTTTCCGTAGTGACGTCATTAGTGTAATTCCACGGTGATCGTCTTTTTCCAAGGGATCACGTTTCCCACCTTTCAGAAGGGGAATTAGTATACCAGTTCTAAATAAAGATGGCGTGTATTCATTACCGACGATATGCTTGAAAATTAAGTAAATAAAGTCAATTACGGCTGAACCACCGTATCTGAGATGTTCCGTAGATATACCGTCGTCACCAGCTGCTTTATTTAGATCTAATTGGTTTATAGCGGTTTCGATCTCGCTCCTTTTAATAGGGTCATTTAAAAACACATTTTCTTGCGAAGTTGAGGCAGCTTTCATTTCCAAAATTTCATTGTTAATTAGATGATAAAAATCGTCGTCGTAATTGCCATGATTAGACGGGGTGGCTAATTTTTCAAAGTAATTCTTCCATTCCATGCACACTTCCTGAGGATCTGATATAACAACACCATCGTCATTTTTCACTAGACTAGATTTAGGACCACCACGCTTACGGCTCTTGTTCAGTAAATACCAAAACATGTTTTGATCTAGTTCCTCCGATTCATACAATTTATTTAGTTCAGAATGTTCAAAAATATATCTTGCACTATTGTATGCTTTAATAAAAGCCTTCTTTGCATGTTTGTACTTTATTCTGGTTCTATCGGTTTCCGCTCGAGGTCGCCCTGCTGTGACCCAATCACGCCAAGTAGTATTCCTCTCTTTAACAAGGGCCGTAAGGTCACTATTCCAGAACGGCTTTAAATGCTTAGAAAATTTTCTCTTTGGAATTGCTTTGTCGCATACATCATTCATTAATTGTGTAAATATTTGCAAAAGGGAGTCAATAGAAGCATTACTGATATGGGTTGCACCCTTAAGTTCATTCGACAAAGTATTCAGATATTCGGCTAAAACGTTCGTATATGCAGTTTCTATATGTTCCGCTGAGACCTTTTTCCATGCTGGCTTACTACTATGCGTATTATTGACATATACGTGCTTTAGATTTTTAACGTTAATCGTGATTGACAGATGAAGATGGTCACTTGTATTAGATGCATGTTCAGGCACTACTTTACACACAGATATATTTGAAATTTCCTCACTCGATAAAATACAATGATCTATATAAGACCTGTTTCCACGACTATCTTCAAAGGTAAATATTGGACCACTTCCACAAACTAAATCCACTACTGAGAGACATTTCGATTTACACAATTCATGCAGTTTACGTGCATTAGTAGAGGGATGACCAAAACATCTATTTACACCATACAGATTTCCAAAGTTGGCATTCATATCACCTAATATCATAATTTTACCATAATACTCAACATCTGATATGAACTGAAAAATGTCATTTAATACATCATTGTAATCATCAAACGTACATTGTTGCTGAGGGAAATATACTGAAAATATATACAGATTGGTCTCAGCTTTTATCTTTATACACACCATTCTATCCGTATACATCTTAACCATCGGGATTACAGAGCGGCTTAAAGACTTTCTATAAAATATTCCAACGCCACCATGGCCTGTAATTTTACCGCAATTCTCATTTTTGAGCATCTTGCTACTTTTACATATACATTCAAACTCTGAGGAGATAGAACACAGTTTTTGCAGATTACAGTCGTACAATTTGTGTTCGGAAACAGCAACAATATCATGCTCATTTAAAAGGTGTTTCAAATGTTCAGTTGATGAATTAAGACCTCTTAGATTCCAGCATGCTATTTTTAGATTGCAAATTACACTCATTGCAATTAGTAACAAAAATATAATAGTTGTGCGGCAGTTATTGAGAATATGCATTTTAACCTTAATACCGTGCTTAAATGAGTAGAGCACCGTTCACTTGCCGTAATCAACCCTATCGTACCAATCGATTCTGTTATGTCCATTGTCATCAACGCTTCTCGATCTAGGATCCTTAGAATGATCATATTCATAAACCTTTGAGTTGCGACTTTGATAGGAACGCGGGTGTCCATCATCATCGTCATCGCGATCGAGGTAAGGGGGGCGAGCCTGTCGTCGATCCTCATTTTCCTGGCGCCTATTAGAGTACCTCAGACGAGGGGGTAGCTGATCAGATCGTCGATCAGTATAAGGACGAGTCCTCCATTCCCGACATGCGATGGGTGTTGGCCACATGTCACTTTCCATAGCTTTGGAGGCTGTAGAGAGGGGCACAATAATCTTGCATCCCACGCGATAACTGTTGACTCTATTGTGAACTACGTATACTTGTAAGATTTTAATATCCTTACTATTCGCATGTTCTTTAACTATCTTTATAGTGTCATCGTCGGATTCGGACTCTTCTTGGCATATGTTCTCTAAATATAAAGTTTTTGACCTTTCGAAAGCAATACCACGAAGCCCGCGTTTTGTGCGCGTCGTTTGTGCGTTATCCCTGTTTTTGCTGGGTGCGTTAAGTGGCTTAAACGGTACCATTTTAACAGGAGATTTCTTTTTCGCCACAATCTCGTTCCAGTTTTGCGTGCTCGTGTCTGCTCGAGGAATTTGATTGTCCTGAGACTCGATATAGGAAGAAGGCACGGCAGATTCCGACCGACTACGCGTTCTTAAAGCGCCAGTCCTCTGAGGAAGCTGTGGGAAGTCCGTATCATGATCTTTAAGATATTCTGGATAGAACGTTTGACTTTCATTGGAAGGAGCACGTGTTGTTTGTTTATCAACAAATGTTTTTTGCGGTTGATCAGCTGATTGTACTGTCTTAATACTCAAGTTTGTTGCTTTACTCATATCTGGGTCAGAGCTAGCCTTATTAGGGTCATTACTCGTGGTAGAACTTACGGTTACCTGTGATTGTACACTAATAGGATTAGACTCATTGGTTGGACTCAGCACTGGGCCTGTTGTACGGTTTATTCTAAAGAGAATGCTTTGAACTATCCCTTCCAAAAGACTAATGTCTTTCTTCAAACCGACAATTTCTTTATTATACGTATTCTTCATATCAAGTAATTGTTTCTCACCTTCACACTGCTTTGCATTCAATTCCCGAATTTGACTTTTCACAACTTCTATAAACTGTGAGCAAAGTCAATGTTTCACCCGGGGGCATATTCGAGATCAATGCCCCAGCTCTGTACTAAGTGTTTTGTTCAGTGCAAAAGCTCAACCGGAAGTAGAAAAAATTAAAAAAAGTGGAAATGAACATCGGAATTGATGATTTTTGCAATATTCTGGTGAGTTTTCATGTTCGAATCATAATATAGACCTCAGAGCAGGGCTACTATTTTTGAATACACCCCTTAGGACTAGGCACAAAAACTTTCGAAAAACTTACAGAAAACGTTTGTGCCAAGCCCTGCGGGGTGTATTCAAAAATAGTAGCCCCTTTCTTCGGTCTATATTTCTTAAATAAAACTAGGAATAACAAAATGTCTAACATTGGTTGTCTCCAGATGTGAGGTTCTACTACAATGGCCTGCTTGTATTCTTATCTAAGAATATCAATGGTGTCTGTTGGTTGAGGTATAGATATTATCAATAATCAATTCCACTTTCTGATGGAGAAACAAATTTCAAAGTGAAAGTTTCTAAAACATTATCATGTTGCTGGTAGTATCTGACAGATAATGGCTGGCCCTATCCGCTGTACTATGCGTTGTACCAGAATTGGATGATGTGCAATATTGCACACATTATGTGTTATAGGCTATAATCACTTGGATACTACCAGTGTATGTATGCCAATTTTAGGGAAATATATTGTACCTCATAACAATAACAAAAATAAATGTTTTATTTTTAAATATTATTTTTGTAGTTTATTCCATTCATTACTTTCATATTCATTCCTTGAATATTTAAACAAGACTATATTCTCATTAGGAAAATCAGCAAACATACCATCAATTCAAAATCATTAACAATCTTTTGTTTTTATGCATGTTATGTCACTACCAGAAGTGTTGACATATTGTTATAGTCTCCAACTTGGTGTTCGGTAGTTGGTGTTTGGTGGTTGGCATTTGATGTCTGTAACAAATTGCAGGTGGTGACATTTTGCATGTATATGCCTTGTCTGATATAGTCATTCTCAGAACTTAAAGTTGTACTCAATTATGAGAGTATCTTCTACTGTAGAACCCCCGAATACCATACAAATAGCCCACATGGGTTAAGCCTATTGTTTTGTGCAGAATTTAGGGTTCCTCAATTTAAGAGTCATCTATGTATAATGTTAGAAAGAACCCTAATAAAAAGGGATGACAGTCCTTATATTCACATTAGATCAAAGAATTAAGTGAACATTACCTTCATATTGTCACTGTGTTATGGTCTGAAGCATGGTACATATATCACATACTCCTCTAGTTAGTTATAAATATCTGCCTTTAGAAAGTGTCCAAAATTTTAAAAGACTGGATTAATAAAATCTATTTCATGTTAGGAGCCTTAGTAAATAATGATTTTGTATGGAAATGTTGAAGAATATAATATATGGTATTTGCTGATATCAGGGTGTAAATGTGAGATTCATAGGAGAGAGTCTACTAAGAGGACTATCAGCCACAGCATTCACAGCTAAATGTCTATCAGATGTGATAGATCCTCCATTGTCCTCAACCTGCATGGCAACACCATCACCTAGCGACCGTAACCTAGCGATCTGACGTAAGAGGGCTTTACCTTCTTCTCTGGTCTGGAATATAGAGAATAGAAGCCAAATTATTGCATGATATTTAATCAGAAAACAAAAACAAATCAAATGACTTTAACTCTGCTAGAGACATTGCAAAGCTATGCTTTCTTTTTTCCTAATAAGCTGCTTGGTCTATGCCTTAAAGTCTCCGATAAATCGGACTACGTATACCGCCGTGTTTACATTAGGGGATTAGAAGAGTTAATTTGTATTTAGGTATGCAAGCAATATCAATATTAGGCCTTCATGCATGTACTCGCATGTACAATCAGCATGCCCTTCAATATTATATAAACCAGGCTATTTAAGTACTACAAAATGTACACTACTTATGTGTGTACTACATGGGAATACGATTTCTTGGGAAACAAAACACAAATACTTTTTATATGTTCAAAATGAGCCATTTGATTGATGCATACACTTAATAGCTCATTAATAACATCTAGAAAGTATATCTAATAGTAATTTTCAATTTCAATGGTGAAACTTGGCTGTTTACGATTATACGGGAAATCAACATGGGACGAAGATTGTTCACCTTCCTGACTTACCTCTGAAGCCTGTACCTTGTAATCTCTTTATATAGGTTAGCGAGAGCGCTGCGCCTGCGCAGTTTTAAACTTTGGCGCACACTTTAATACAATTTAACTTGAACAAATGCTTTCATTTTGTGAGTTCATCAAATCCTTAAATTATATTGTTACTTACTGCATTAAATTCTGTACATTTCTGAGCTGCAGTATGGGCATCATCCAACTGACCATTCTTCAAGTGATAGTTTGCAAGGTATCTGTAAGCCTGTGGCTGCTCATCAAAATTAAACATCTGAAACACATGAGCAGGTACCACGATTAGTCTTCATGTAATGGGTAATTCCAAGGAGCCTGGATGTATTTAATTTTTGAAATAAAAATATTTGAATTTTTAAACATATGATAGAAATAACCAGGAAGTAGTATTGTCTCTTTTTGGCAAAATTGACAACCATCAGGTCAGATCATATCTTGTAAGACAGCATTCACACCATACAGCTGGTATAGGAGAATGTGAACATATACCCATTTACTCAACTACCATGGTATGTGACATACATTTAGTTATACATCACACATGGAATACCTGATGATGACACAAAGAAAAAAATTTTGGATCCCTAATTAACCTTTGAAATGATCAACTATATATTTTCAGACATCTCTTTGACATTATCTATATGAATCCAAATGTGCTTCAACAATCTTTATGCTATTAACTCAATCTGTATGAATCCAAATGTGCTTCAACAAACAATCTTTATGCCATTAACTCAATCTGTATGGATCCAAATGTGCTTCAACAATCTTTATGCCATTACCTCAATCTATATGAATCCAAATGTGCTTCAACAATCTTTATGCCATTAACTCAATCTGTATGGATCCAAATGTGCTTCAACAATCTTAATGCCATTAACTCAATCTGTATGAATCCAAATGTGCTTCAACAATCTTTATGCTATTAACTCAATCTGTATGAATCCAAATGTGCTTCAACAATCTTTATGCCATTAACTCAATCTGTATGGATCCAAATGTGCTTCAACAATCTTTATGCCATTACCTCAATCTATATGAATCCAAATGTGCTTCAACAATCTTTATGCCATTAACTCAATCTGTATGAATCCAAATGTGCTTCAACAATCTTTATGCCATTAACTCAATCTGTATGAATCCAAATGTGCTTCAACAATTCTTATGCCATTAACTCAATCTGTATGAATCCAAATGTGCTTCAACAATCTTTATGCCATTAACTCAATCTGTATGAATCCAAATGTGCTTCAACAATCTTTATGCCATTAACTCAATCTGTATGAATCCAAATGTGCTTCAACAATTCTTATGCCATTAACTCAATCTGTATGAATCCAAATGTGCTTCAACAATCTTTATGCCATTAACTCAATCTGTATGAATCCAAATGTGCTTCAACAATCTTTATGCCATTAACTCAAATTATGAACTGATTTCCTTCCAGTTGATCGCTATTTACTCATTCTTCCTACCGTATATGTTTAATGCTACTTTCAGTTAGATATGCTGATTTGTTTATGTTTGTGTATTTGTTCCATTCACTATCACTTGATATATTGTAAGTATTTCAAAACCACTTCATAATATTATTAAAACATCATCACAAAAAACACTAACAGTGATTCACAGTACATTTATACAGGTATTCAAAGCCATGTGGTAATCAGAACAATGGCAACGCCAAAGCGTAGCGAATCCCATCGAACAGAAATGGCTGGCATTTTTACAAACAAAATATATAGCAAATATCATAAAATAACACACATAAGAAAGGCCAGCATTTTCAAAATGGTTGCTCACTAGCCAAGTTGTCATCAGAAGAAGATATAGTGAATAATGAATTAAAAACTGTAGATGATTGGTTCTGTGCTAACAAACTCTCATTGAACATTGATAAAACCAACTTTATGGTCTTTACAACTTCACAAAATAAGGTACCAGATAATATTTCAATCAAAATTAGAGACTCTTACATTATTCGTGTTTTTTCAACAAATTTTCTTGGCGTTATAATTGACCAAAATTTAAATTGGAAAGAACATATTCGTAAAATTGCACTAAAAATTTCAAAAACCATAGGTACTCTATTTCGAATAAAACACAAACTCAGTATCAAATCATTATTGAATATCTATTACTCACTTATTTATTCACACTTACAATATTGCATCCCAGCTTGGGGTGGGACAGGAAAAACACATACTGATATCTTATTAAAGCTGCAGAAAAGATTTGCCCGCTTAGTTACTAATAGTGAATATAATAAAGCACCATCATCACCTTTATTTCAACAACTAAATATACTGAAAATAAATGATATTTATAAACTCAATGTTCTTATCTTTACTTACAAATGCATCAAACGTCCATACAATTTTCCGAATGACTTATTTTGCAATTATTTTCAAGCAAATCAGCAGGTACACGACCACAATACAAGACAGACTGACAATCTTCATATTTCCAAATTTAGAACCAACTATGGCAAACGAAGTATTAAAACTCAAGGGGGAATAATCTGGAATTCAACTCCAGATGTTATCAAAAATTCAAAAACCATTTTTATTTTTAAGCGAGCCTTCAAAAGACATGTAATTAGTCTCTATGATTAGTACCCTGTACAAATTTTTAACAGATGCACCTTTTTCCATTTAGCTATTCTACATCATTAAAATGTTTTATTACATCTTTTATAATGTACATCATTTTTATTTTTATTTGTTTCCCAGTTTGGCTTACATAATTTATACTTTGAGACACTTTGTAACATCAATAATAAATGTAACTAACAATATGCCATTTTTAAATATTTTAGCTTGTGATAAGACATACACCCACTAGGGTGTCATTATCACTTATATGTATATATGTTTATATGATTTTAATAAATAAAAAAAAAAAAAAAAAAAAAAAAAAGAAGTAATATGCTTTATCTTTACAGTATTCACATACCAAATATGAACAAAATCGCTCCACTACTTTTCGAGTTAAAGTAAAATACTTTAAAATGGTGGAAATGTTTCAAAATGGCCGCCTTCTAACAAAAGTGTCATTAGACAGTGTGCCATGCTTATAGTATTCACATACCAAATATGAACAAAATCGCTCCACTACTTTTCCAGTTACAGCAAAATCGTAAAATAATGAGTAAAGGCCAAGTAAAATATGTTTAAATGGAGGCCATTTTTCAAAATGGCCACCTTCTACAAAAAGTGTCATTAGACAGTGTGCCATGCTTATTGTATTCACAAATCAAATATGAACAAAATAGCTCCACTACTTTTCGAGTTATAGTAAAATACGTTAAAATGGCCGCCATTTTCGAGTTACAGCAAAATCGTAAAATAACGAGTAAAGGCCGAGTAAAATATGTTTAAATGGCCACCTCCTACCAGAAGTGTCATCAGACAGTGAGCCATGCTTATAGTATTCACATACCAAATATGAACAAAATCGCTCCACTACTTCTTGAGTTACAGCAAAAATCGTAAAATAACGAGTAAAGGCCGCCATTTTTCAAGATGGCTTCCATGTGCTTCTTTAATATCTATATTTCTAGCTTTATCAATGCCCTATGTAATTTTCACCTAAAATTACTGTAAAATCGGCACTAAAATGGCCCCCATTTTTAAATGAGCGGCCATTTTGAAAATCGGCTTTTGAGCAGAACTTCTACTCCCATAGGGTATATGTGTACAAAATATGAACAGAATCGGGCCAACAGTATGAGTTATTGCCCGGACGGACAGACATACGTAGGGATGGACGGACAGAGGCGTTCCCTATATCCCTCTGAACTTCGTTCGATGGGATAATAATAAGCCACTCCTATCAACTAAATAAATCAAAGTCATATTCCCCTCAGTTCCTTTCACCTACCTGTCAACTCACCACAATACAACAACAAGAATAAAATGTGTAAAATATCACCAAATGTCTGGTTGTAAAGACAGGAATCAAAAACAAACAATTACACACATACCTTTGAGACACTATAAAACCTATTATTTCGACAGAATGTTTTGGTAACCTAAAACATTTCAGTCATGTGAGAATACACATGATAAAACATATTTTGAAACTTTACTTGGGGTCTTTAATTAATCTGAAGCACAGCTATACCTTAATAACCAACAGGCTCATATGTCAAATAGATTGCAGTCTACAATACTGTTATAATAGTCTATAATGGAAAACAGAAAAAAGCAGGTATGATTTTTCTTTAAGAAACTAAAATGCTAATAAACTCAATAATCAATAGCCTTTATCATTCTCATTATTTTTGAACATGAATATCAGTGAATTGATGTTAATAAATAATGATTTAGATGAAAGATATTCCACGCATATGGTTCAGGAAGAAAGCAACACTAATTTTTGCGCTGGACATTGATAAAGATGGAATACTCTCATATGAAGACGCAATGACAGTAGTAGATCGAATCATTAAATCAGGTAGGCAAACTGACTAACAATCCATATAAAAGGGCTTTCTTTGTTACATATCGGGTGTCCCAAAAAATGAGGCACTTTTCGACAAGTATTTTCATGGAAACTGATTGACAAAATTTACTGATCATACTCATACAACTAGATAATGGCAACTCCACGGAGTAGCAAATCCCAACGAACACTATATAAATCATCAATCTGTACAGTCACAATGTAATATTTACCATCTACTCTTACCTCCAATAAATATCTTAAATCATTGTAGTATCATGTAACCATACTTTCAAGATAACTCTAAGTAATGGCAAATTTCTGCTCTAGTCAGCCATTTTGAATTTTCAGAGGAGCAAATAAGAAAAACAATGCCATGATTGTGATCTACTCTGAAATACCTTCAATTTGAGTATAATATAGCCATACTTTTAAGAGAACAGAAAATAATTGCGAAATCCAGCATTAGGCAGCCATATTGAATTTCTGATTCTGAAATTTCTGAATTTCCGACGCTACAATATTTACAATCTACTCTAAATTTCCTTTCATTTGAGTATAATAAAGCTATACTTCAAAAACATCTCAAAATTAACGCAAATTCCTGTTTTCCCAGTCCCCCATTTACGGCCCCTGGGGGTCAGGGTGAAAAACCCGGGACAAATGTAAAATAGATAGATGTTGTTAATATATTACCAAAATTTCAAATAATAATATACATTATTTTGGTTTAAAATGAAAAACATACGACTTTTGCGAAAAATTCCCGCCATTTTTAAACTGGTGGCCATCTTGAAAAAACATTTTTTTGAGTAAAACTATTCACCAATATACATCTTTCCACCAAATATGAAGAAAATCTGTCAACTAGTATTCGAGTTATCTTCCGGACGGACGGACGGACTGACGGACAGACGGACTCCCGCAGAGTCCTTTGTGCAATTTTTTCCTTGTGCTGTGCAATTAGATTAGCGGGTTGCACATTCTAGTACAGTCCACAGTGCCAAATCTGTCTAAGTTATAATGGACAATGTTAAGCATATCAAAATTGATACGGGGTGCGATTGTTCTTTATGAATGTGAGGTGCACTGGTTATGAAAACTGACCAACTTCTGGGTTGCACCACAGAAGTAGGTAGAAACCCCAGAAGGGTATATCTGAACGCATGGCGCACAGCACTAAGGACTCTGTGGGAGAGCGGACGGACGGACGGACGGACGGACTGACTGACTGACGGACAGACGGACGGCTTCACTATATCCCTACAGAACTTCGTTCGTTGAGATAAAAAAGCCCAAGAGTATCATTATGAAGGTATAAAAATATGAAAAAGATCAGATAAATGTTATGTGAGGACTAAGAAATTCAAGATGGCATGCCAAAAATCCCATACTTGAGCAATGCAATGAGAACTTCATAGCATTTGTACCAAAAATTGGAAGCAAATCATCAAGTAATTTCTCAGCAATAGATGAGCAAAGTTCTTGAAAACTTTACTTAAGGGTATTTTCTGCTAGTGCTATGAATATGTAAGAGATTGGTCTCATAGTATGTGTGAATTTGTCAAAATAATGTCATGTCAAAATGACCAATATGAATGTAAAAGTTACTTTTTAATCCATTTCCAAGCAAAATTACTTTTCCGTATTATTACTCTTAAAATATCACCTCCAATGAATTTTGAGAATGAATGGATCTAAAATATTTGGGAACAATGAAACAAATTAATTAGACATGACGCACAGACAAGCTATTTTGACTGATTGACAGATGCTATCACCTGGTTAAAACACTATAGAGGCCTCATCGCAGAGCTTCTGTATGCAGATTTTTGACATGCTATTTTGAATTGCTTAATTCTCACAGAATATTGACTTCATCTTTTTTATACTTTTACAACTTGTTAATGATACTCTTAGGCTACTTTGTACGATTTTCAATTATGTCAAAAATTGCTCATTTTTTGGACACCCGGTATAAATATATCGCAAACACGAAGGTTCCAATGCACTATTGGGAAGTTGAGAGTGTCAGCTTAAAGAATCTAACCTCCATTCAAATTTTCACTGAATGTAAAATTAGGTATAAAGCTTTCATCACCATGGGGTAAAATTAAGAAATCAATCATGCTTTTTCAATCAAAAAGTATTTTGAGAATCAGTTTCTATTTTGAATCTAAATGTCCATAACAACTATCTGTTATGTCGAAGAAAGTATTTATTAGAATCACTCCATAAGACATTATAAATGCTTGAGATGGAATTCTGCATTAGAATAAAATAATAAAATGATGCTGTATGAGTAAATAGGTGTGGCAAATAAGATCAAATGTCAAATATTTGGCTTAATGGATTCCATTTGGATTTGATGGATTCCACCTTGATATGTGGTGTATCTGTATTACCCATACCACTTGTTAAAATTTTGTGTAGTGCTCCTTTGGAATTGATCATAGCATTGGTAAGTATAACTAGATTTGTAAATTGAACAAAGTTCAATTTAAGACTCCAGATTGATTTACTTGAGTAGGTAGCTGAGTAAGTAACTGAGTAGCAAGCTGAGTAAGTAGATGATTAAGTAATTGAGTGAGTAGCTGAGTAGGTAGCTGAGAAGGAAGCTGAGTAAGCAGCTGAGTAGGTAGCTGAGTAAGTAGCTGAGTAAGTAGCAGAGTAGGTAGCCGAGAAGTAGGTAGCTAAGTAGGTAGCTAAGTAGGTATCCGAGTGGTATGTAGGTAGGTAGGTAAGTAGGAATTTTCGACCGAAAGTCGGATTGAAATTTGGTTTGCAGATTCAGATTCCTGGGAAAATTCTACCCTTATTTCATAACTCATACATTAAATTTGGAGATTTTTTTATTTTGACCCACTTTTAGGACGCCATATCTCAAAAATGGGTCAAAATACTTTCTGACGGCAAAAGGCTATCACTATTAGCACACTATTTTCTACCTGTATACGAAATTTTGAAGCAAATCCTAAAAGTGTAGTGCCAGAATCGTAAAAATAAGGAAAAACTATGAATTTGACCTAGATTTTGACCTAGGCATTTTGGTGTCCAAATATTGAAACTAGGTAGCTTTTGAGGTCCCATTCTTTTATAGGAATTCATTATCTTAAGCTGTACTCAGTCTATATCTCGTATTTTACACTTCAAAAAAATCTTTTTTCCTTGACTTTCTATCAGGATACCATCAGATCAATTTTTCTCGAAATTTCAAAACGCCATAACTTCCTAACGGGAAGTCGGATCGAAATATGGTTTGCAGATTCGGATTCCTGAGAAAATTCTATACTTTATTCATAACTCATACGTTGAGTTTGGAGAAATTTTTATTTTGACCTACTTTTCGGACACCATATCTCAAAAGTGGGTCAAAATACTTTCTGACGGCAAAAGGCTACCACTATAAGCACACTCTTGGCTATATGTATACAAAATTTCGAAGAATATAATTAATCTGTAGTGTCAGAATCGCAAAAATAAGGAAAAACTTTGAATTTGACCTAGATTTTGACCTAGGCATTTTGGTGTCCAAAATTTTATGAAAAGAAGGTCTTGAGGTCCCTTTCTTTTATGGGCTTCCATTATGTTTAGCTGTGCTTAGTCTATATCTCGTATTTTACACTTCAAAAAAATATTTTTTCCCATTGAATTAACATGGGGCACCGAATTTAGCGATTTTTGAATTTTCAAAACGCCATAACTTCCGAACGGGAAGTCGAATCGAAATTTGGTTTTCAGATTCGGAATCCTGAGAAAATTTTCTATAAGACTGATATCCTGAACATTGGATTCGGAGAACTTTTTTTTGGACCTCGTTTTCGGACACTGATATCTCGAAATCGGTTTGAGATACCAAAAAACTAAATCGACCCTAGCTTTCCTACTTTTTTATGAGGAACACAATGAAAAAAACCCGGATCAAAAATATTGAAGGACGACCGAGATAATGGGAAAAAGTGACAAAGTACTGGATTTGACCTAGTTCTTGACCTTTGACCTAGATAAAAATTTGACCTAATTTCCCATAATCCCAGATACATTCCCTAGTTGATCATGTAAGCAGCTTAAAGTAAGTTCTTCTAGTTGGTGAGAAATCTTGTAAGGAGGAAGAATAAGAAAAAAAAAAATAATAATAATAATAATAAGAAAACTGGCAAAAGCAATAGACTCCAGATTTTCATCTGGAGTCTAATAATTATAAGCACATATTCAAAAAGATGAAAAGGTCAAAAGAGATATAATGATACCTAATATTAAGTCAAAGGTGCATATTCTCACGCTTGCTGCAATCTTTAATAATATTCTCAGGAGAAAAAATTAGTAATTTGTATTCAACTTGTACATTCCTAAATACACATATTACACGAATGTACACACTATTTTCAAATATCAAATACATCATTTCTACCGAAAACAAAAATTCTGATGCATTTTGTAACATAATGTGGTCACTGCACTTAATGAGTCCTATCTCAGCCTATCTGGGTTCAAACTCTCCAAAGTATAATTTGACATTGAATTAGTTATTGTAAACCTAAAAATAATCCACTCTGGCTATAGGGTTATTTGTCATTTTGAAACTGATTTTCATAAAATTAATAAATGATCAATTGGAGATGAAAGGGTTCTATTTTGCATTCATTAAAGATTTGAATGGAGATCAGATTCTTAAAGCTGACGCTATTTAAACTTTCCAACAGTGTATTGGAACCTTAGTGCAGAGATGATCATGTATATCACCCTAATTTGCTCTTCTACAATATGACAATTCAGACAATTGAGAAGGTCAAAAAGGTCATTAAAGGTCACATCTCAAATGTATAGTCAGATTTGAACTTTTGAGAACTTGTAGAGGATTTTGAAAAAAATTGATCAATGGCTTAAAACGTCGTATTAATACGTCACATTGGCGATAGGTGGCGCATCCCCTATTATCGCCCAAATTCAGTCAATTTTACTTCCGGTTTATTTTTCTGCCTCAGAAACTTTTCGGAGTTTAAAGATCGAAT